GCACTAATAGACACTGGCTTGATTTTTTTCCCTTTTACCTACTGTTCTTTTACCTTTCACTCATCCTAATTCTTTTTTCCTTTTGAACAATCTCTTCCCATTTCACAATATTTATTGTACATTTTAGAACTTATTTACTCTTTCATCGTCACACCAAAAAAAAAAAAAAAAGAAAGAAAGAAGAAAAGAGTGCCAGAATTACAGACATTTGCTACCACGCCCAGCTCATATGTTGTTTTTTGTTTGTTTTTTCTTCCGGTACCGGGAATCAAACTCACGACCTTGCGCTTGCTAGGCAGGCGCTGTGCCGCTGAGCTAAATCCCCAGCCCCCCAGCTCATATGTTCATATCGCTGCTGATTCACCCCTCCCAGTACCGGGTGCGTATGCTTACTCAGTCAGAAAATCTTAGGTCTTTTCTCATCTAAAGCATTCCTTGCCCTCCTGCTGTTTTCTGCTGTCCGGTTGTTCAGCCTCTGCAGAGGTCCGCCGGCTTCCTCGTGGGTCATTTAATTTGTCCCTCTCATAAACTGGAAGGTGGGTCTGAAGCCTGAAGCACTTTGGGTCAGAAGTGGCCCTGTGCAGTTTTCCCCGAACCCCATCAGAAAGCCCTGCAGTGGGCAGCTGCCCACCCGTGATGAAGGTACTAAGCTCGTCAGCAGATCGCGGGGTGGTGACCAACCCCGCCCCGAGCGTCGGGCCTCCGCCTCCCCTCGTGACAGACGACCTTCAATTTGGCCTTCAATTTGAATCAGTTATTCCGTTAGGAATTACAAAATGCTGCTTATTAAAAATTCTATCGTCCCTCCTGATTCTGTGTAAAGAGCTTCCTTCATTAATTTCTCATCATATAGGAAAGGCAGAAAAATATTTGATTGTCTTTAATTACTAGCGAGAAGTTTAATGTCACGTGTGCCCTGTTGGAAACTATAGAAAGCTAGACAAGAAAAGCTCCCACCATGAAGTATTACGATATCAGCACACACCATGCTTTAAGAAAAGATGCCTGTTACAGAAAAACATGAGGTCCGTGGACTTGGGTCCACAGAGCACTCCTTATGATGATAACAAGTACTAACATTCGGAAAGCATTTCCTATGGACTGAAATTAACTAATAGTAAATAATATTTATGATAACAGTTGTAGAGAAAAAAGAAGTGACACTCATTGTGCAGGTCAAAGAGCCCTCTTCCCGTCTGAAGAAGTTGTGGATTCTCTCTTTATTCGGTTGAGATGTATTGATTACCCCTGCCTTGGGAACGCAAAGATGAATTAGACTCAGACCCTGTGAGGCCTCAGTGGTCCTCAGGGTGAACTTTGTCTCAGTGATTCCAGATCCTTGCTTGGCACAGACGTTCATGACATCTGTCGGGGGTCCTAAAGAACACCCCAAAGTGGTTGGCGATGTCCCAAGGTCAAAGCATCCCCGGCCCTCATCACAGGTGGCAGACATACATTACGCCATGACCCGGATGTGGGGAGAAGGCATGATTGGTAGCATCTGCCTATTTCCATGGTGCAGATGCCCCATCGGGGCCCTTTTGAAGCTGCCAACGTGACATCAGAAGTGCAGAGCTATAGGACCTGGAACTGAGCACCGTTACACCGTGTCCCCACCAGGCGGTGCGACGCACACGCGTGACTCGCACACAGCGGTAATCTCTAAGCAGACAGAGCACTAGTAAGGGTGATAAAGCATTAGTAAAGTGAAGTGGTGGGTTCCGAATGTTTATTATCTTTGAAATGAAATGTATTTAATTGTAAGTTTATATCATCGAATTTCTTTTCTCAGTAGTGGGTAAGAACCCACGACCTTCGTGCTGAGCGACATCCCTAGCTGTTTTTATTTTTTGAGATAGGGTTTCACTAAGTCATTAAGTTGCCCTGGTTGGGCTCTAACTCACAATGCTCCTGCCTCAGCCTCCCGGAGTGCTGGGATCACAGGGGTGCACCACCATGCCTGGTTCATGATTACATTTTAAGGATGGCTGTGTTTAACAAGCCACCTGTTCTTTTCCTGACATCTGACCCTTAGCTCTCACAGACCAGTGTGAGCTGCTCCAGCACGCGGACGTGTATACTCACGAGGCATGCTACTCGGGACTTGGAACACTGCGGCCAGGGGGCACCTGAGCCGAAGATGTTCAACAGCCTTGGGACACAGAGAGGAGAGGAGCGGAGCGTCCTGGTCTTGGGCATCCCTAACCCCACTGTGAGGGCTGTTTCCTGTTACTGGTAGAACGAATCACCCAAATGTACTTGTTTTAAAAACATGCAAATGCATTGTCCTACGGTTCTGGGGGTCGGTGTGAGCAGGGGCTCCCCTGGGCTAAGGGAAATGTGTCAGCAGGCTGTGCCCTGGAGGGTGGAGAAGGGGACCCTTTCTCTCCCCTTGCAGGGCTTCTAGAGCCACCTGCTCCTGGGCTGTGACCTCGTCCTCCATCCTCAAAGTCAGCGGTGTTGGCCTGAGTCTTTCCACTGCCGTCTGTCCGCGTCTGTCCTTGGAGAGCTGATCAGCGCCCCAGGTCCACGTAACCCGACACATTCACAGGGGCGGGCAGTGCAGGGGAGCCTTGTTCTCTGCAAGCTGCGCCCTCTCTGGGGTGGGCCTGCTGGTCCAGGTGCCTGGGCTTCCAGGGCGGAGAAGGGGAGAAGGCGGAGAAGGCGAGCCTCTGCAGCCGAGGAATAGGGGCTGAGAAGAAAGTAAGCGTGCTGGAGTGTGCTGGCAATCCAGGCTCCACTCTAAGATACATCTCCCGCCCAGCGTCCTTTTCCAACCGGCTCTCCTCGTGCCGAGGACCTTGCCACGCAGCGGTCAGACTGGCGAGGGCAGGCACACAACTGGATGTGGTAAAACAACAATTAACAAGGGAGGGTCGCAAGTGTGGGTCACAGTCCAGATTGTTTTTCTCAGTACTGGGGGTTGAACCCAGGGCCTTCACACGGAGCTCTATCCCCAACCCATTTATTTAGCTATTGATTTGTGTTTACTTATTTATGTATTTATTTATCAACAGGGTCTCGCTAAGATGCCCAGGTTGGGCTTGAACCTGGGATCTTCCTGCCTCAGCCTCTCAGAATGCTAGGATTGCAGGCCTGTGTCACGGCACAGTGCTGTGGTTCAGAGTTGTTTGTTTCTCCCATAGTTCAGGCTAGCCTTGAACTCCCAGTAATCCTTCTGCCTCAGCCTCCTGAGTGCTGGGATTAGAGGCATGCACCACTATACCTGACTTGGTCCGGTGCTAAAGGACAGTGGGGAAAAGATGAATGGGAGTGCGGGGAGGAGGCAGTGTGGGGCAGTGGGAGCAGCGAAGGCATTTGGAACGGGAGAGTGTGTGCACAATGCCTGCGGGTGCCGCCTTCACAGCAGAAGTACTGCGGCCCAGGGCAGGAAGACGGCGGGACTCAGGCTCGTCTTTTCCTGTGGGAATAAGAAGCTATTTCTAATCTCTGAAGTTGGTGATCTGTGGCAGGAGGGAGGAGAGGCAGGAGGCTGTGCTGACCTACCCTGTACCCCGGGAGCCTCAGGTGAGCCTTGGCGCCTCAAACCCTTCAGGCTTCCGTGTACCCCAGGTCCTGGAGGGGTCAGTCACAGAGGGAGAGCAGGGGCGTGGCGGGGTGGCGGAGGGAGCACAGGAGACAGCATTTAAGGGGCAGGGCTACGCTTCTATATATGCCCTGCCGTTAAGACAAAGGGGCAGGAGAAAAACACTTTGGGGAGGAAAAAAAGTCAAAGAGGCAGACAGCGGGGAGCAGGGCTGAGAGGTGAGCTGTGAACCTTGGACGCTTCTGCTTCCGCTGCCTACAGCTCTGCGCCCCCGGCCTGGCATCGTGTGAGACCAGCCTTGCCCCTGGTGTCTGCTTCATGAAGGCGCAAGTTCAAACACAGCCCACCCAAGCAGTGCAACGCCTGCTTTGGCAACTGCAACCTCACTAGGCCTCACTCACTCCTCGCCTTTTAAGCTGAATAGTAGGGCTACCCACGTGAGGACACCTACCCCCACCTCCGTACCAGGAATTGAACTCACAACCTTGCACTTCCCAGGCAGGCGCTGTGCTGCTGAGCTAAATGCCCAGCTCCCGGGGACTCTTAACTTAAAGGAAATACAACCTGCAGTCACGATGGGGGACTTGGCTTCTAGTTTTGATCCTGCTGGCGGCTGCACTTGACTCTGGCCCCCGCACCAGGCTCTGGAGGGTCCCCCCAGCTTCTGTCCTGCTGCAGCTGAGACAGGCAAGGTACTCGAGCACTGCCGGAGGAGAGCGGCAGAACTTCTAAGTACACAATTTCTATTTATAGTACGAGCCCTCAGCAATGAAAATCACCAGATTCTGCTCAGACTTGGGCCCCACAGAGCACCATTACTAAGCCGGAACTTTGGAGCCAGTGGCTCAAGTGTGAAGAGGAGCTCTTTCCTTCTTTACCCTCCCGGTACCTTCCTTTCATTTCTCCTCTGGATCAAAAATAAAAATAACAACAGAGAAAATGTTGTCATGAAAGGTGCAGCCCATGCCTTCCTTAATCCTTCCCTGCTGTGGTCTCAGCGTGTCCCCCCAACATTCCTGTGTTGGAAACAGATTCCCCAAATTTAGCAGAGTGAATGCATGGGGGGTAATTAGCATGAGGTGAGGTCAGGGAGGTGGGCCCCCACCACGGTGTTAGTGGCTTCTAAGAAGGGGAAGAGAGACCGGAGCGAGCGAACCTGCGTGCCTTGCCAGGCAGTGCCAGGCAAAGGTACCATGAGCAAGAGGCTGCCAGTGTGGAGCAGATGCTGACACAGGCTCCTGGGCTTCCCAGCTTGCAGAACTGTGAGCCAATAAGCATCCCCCATGAAGTAAAGTACCCAGTCTGTAGCGTTCTATTGTGTAGCAACTGAACGCAGACCAAGACCTTCCCCTAGAGTCACTCGTGTGTATGTACTCTCTGTTCTCCATTATCCCTAATCGTGTATGGTGAGCGGCTGGCGAGACTGGGAAACCAGGCCTGAGAAATGCTCTCTCACCCGCCTTCAGGTCTGTGTGGGGTGCTGCTGGCCTTCCCGTGTCAGTGTGGTAGCTGCTGCTGTGTCCAATCCCTCTGCAGTAGAATGAATGAATTTCGCAAGAAGTTTCTGATTTTCAGGTGTGTGCAGACATGGGAGACACAGCCCAGAGCGACTCCCACGGACATGCGGTTTTGCTGCGCCACAAAATGCCCTGCAGCGACTTGAGCATGCCTGCCACGGTACTGTCGGTAACTGATGGTCACTGTCATATGGCCAAGGGAAGTTCCGCCCCGCTGTCAGGGTATCCAGTTGTTTCTCATAGCTACAGCAGTTAGGTCCTGCACACGGCTGCACACACTGAGCTAGGAATAGCACTGCTCCCGGGGAAACTACAAGGTTGGCCCCCGAGAGCCTCTGGACACGTTTTCATTGATTCTCCGGTCGTCACTGTGATTTGCATGCATTTCTGTTTAAAAGCCCCTTATTTAAGATACATGGTTGGTTCAGTAACACTGACCCAGTGCTCACAACGCTATCAGCTTGGGCCTGAGCGAAGCCGGTCCTACACGGTATTTCTCCAGAAGGCACGTCGTAGACTTCTTGCTCCGAGAAACGCTAGACAGAGCTGTGCCACTGAGCTCGGGGGCCATTGTAGACAACAGAAATGGAAACATGGCGGCCCGAAGTGGAGGAGCCAAAGAAACAAGGACGGAAACAGGAAGACGAGCAGCCTCGTGCTTGACCTCAGCTGGGAGGGCAGGCCTCGGGTCACTCAAACGTTTTGCTTGCAAATGGCCGTGGAAGTGTTGTGAGGACTGATCTGGGGATTGCAAATACATTTCAGGCAAACTTTCAGGTACGGAGTCTGTGAATAATGAACACCGTGCGCCAGAGCCTGCTGTACGTCAGCAAACCCCGATGTCTGCCCCATCCTGGGACTTGTTAGAGGTGTGGGTTCTGTGTACCACAGGTTGGAGTAAGTCACTCACTGTGTTTGATAAGCTATTAAAGGAGTGGCATTGTATTTTAAATAGCTCTTAAGTCAAGATCTATTCTTCAGTCTTAACAAAGATCTGAGAGCCCCCAAAGCACGGGTCCCTGAGATTCACTCAGTAACTCACTTTTCCTCTTTGCCTCAGGTGTTCTCTGAAATAATAGAATTACTATGTACCGACTGCTACCCACCTCTCCAGCCCGTCGTCCACCTGCTCCATGGCTCAAAAGGATCCAATCTTTGGGCACGGAACTTATTCTGCACAAAAGTGAGGAAGGCTTTTAGATCAGAACTGGAGGGGCTGGGGATTTAGCTCAGCGGCAAAGTGCCTGGCTGGCAAGCACAAGGTCGTGAGTTCGATTCCTGGTACCGGAAGAAAAACAAAAAACAAAACAACAAAAAAATCTGAAATCTAGATCAGAGCTGGATACTTCCTACCTTGGTCCCCTTTTCTGTCTTCTTCTTGCGCTGTCTCCAGCATGGTGGGTACAGTAGGCTCTGTTCTCCACCATCATCGGCCCATGATGCCTGAGGAAGCCACCAAGTCCTGTTTCGTGCGGGAACTATGGCTCAGGATGGAGACGAAGGAACAACACGAAGTTTTCTTGCTTATGCTGCGTGACCACAGCTGATGCCTCCCGTACTTAGGTGTACAGAGAGCAGCTTTCCCTTCCTCAAAAGGGAGGAGGAAATGCCCTGGGAGCGGGAAAGTCTAACTCATCAATTAATAATGTCCTAGTAAAAACAGTTTTCTTTTGGTTTACAACAGCCCCTCCTTTCAGGAAATGATCGTGTTCTTGAGTTTGGTCCATCCCCCAGATGGCTTCTGTCTGTGTGGGGAAAACACTTCACCCTCCGAGACAGGGCGGGGGACCCGAGATCTGCACCAGGCAAGGCTAGAAGTTGCTTTCTGGCCCTCACTGTCTCCTGTAATGGCGGTTCTGGCTTGGCCTAGTGCATCTGCCACAGAACCTGCCTGAGTAAGAGTCGTCGGATCTCCCGGGGTGTGGTCAGGGCGTTGGGGTTCTCCCAGCTGACCTGCCTCTCCTGTGTAACTAAGGCCTCTTACCAGAGCTCACTGTCCCAGGGACAGGTGCCTGACCCTCGTGGGGCCCACCAGAGAACTGGGATTTTTCAAACTGAAACTAAGCCAAGTTTCTCCCTGGAGACAATGGAAGCAAAACTATTAGAGGGGAAATTTAGGTTCTTCGGCTATTATGTTGCTACCTCAGAGAAGTGGGTCTTCAGGAAGGGGTAGAAACAGAATGGGAGAGCTGCGGAAACTTTCAGATCCCTGACCTACGTTGTACCTGAGGCCCTGCAGCGTTTATCTTCCTATTATTCTGTGTGACCTCATACCTTCCACTTCGGGCCCAAGCCAGTTTATTACAGTTCAGTTTCTGACAGTTGCAAATGAAAAAAAAGAACGAAAACAATATGCTTTTAAATGCTTTAACGATCATCACAGCACTTGGATATACACAATTCCAAGAGATCTTTGTTCATGCGAGTCCCTATTAAGCATACAATTTTA